GTAGATTTGGTATCTCTATTCTCTTTGATCTTTCAATCCATGAACAAAGTTTGTCTTGCTATTTATTTAGATTTTAAGAATTTATTTTACAAGTGCTCCTCAGTTTCCAGCCCACAAGACACTGTGGATCAGAACTTTCTGCTGGCTACACTGTCTACATGTGGAAATCAGTGATTTTTGCAAAGAATAATTTTAATTGACATTAATTGCAAACTAATTCTTGGTTTTTTCAGCACCCCTCTGTCACCACTGGACAGGTCACCCAGAGAAAAAATAAAGAGACACAGGAGCTAATTGAGACCATTAACCAAAGGACCTGACATGGAACATTTTCAAAGACTGACCACATAATAGGCCATAAAACAAGTCTCTACAAATTAAAAGAAAAGAAAAGAAAGTATACCTAGCATCTTCTCTAACTACAACAGAATGAAACTTGAAATACACAACAACATGGAAACTAAACAGCCTACTCCTGAATGATACTGACGTAATTAATACTGAAATCAAAAGATTCATCGAAACCAATGATAACGAACATACCACTCTCCATAACCACTGGGTCACATCGGAAGCACTCATGTGAGGGAAGTTCATGGCCATTGGTGCTCACAAGAAAAAAAATGAAAATCCAGCAAATAAGCACTTACCATCACATTTCAAGAACTAGAAAATCAATAAGAAAAACAACAACAAAATAAAATAACAGAGGAAAAGAAATAGTAGATTAGAACTGAAATAAATGAAATAGAGAATAAAGGAACTGTACAAAAATCAATAAACAAAAATCTAGTTGTTTGAGAGGGTAAGCAAAATTGACAAACCATTAGGTAGACTAATCAAGAAAACAGGAAAAAAAATCAGATAGATAAAGTCAGTAATGAAGCTGGTGATAGTACAACTGATATATCAGAAAAGCAAAGAATTATGAGTGAATACTACAAGTGACTGCATGTCAACAAACTGGAACACCTATATGAGATGGACAGATTTCTGCACATATGTAAATTACCTAGGCTGCATCGGGATTAGACAGAACAATGACTAGACCAGTAACAAACAATGAGATTGAATCAGTAACTCATGGTGTCCCAACAAAGAAAAGCCCAAGTCCAGCTGTCTTCATTTCTGAATTATACACAATTTTTTTTGAGAGATATTTTTGCTATAGAGCACATGCATTTGCTGGGTAGACAGAGAGACAGAAAACAAGAAATCATCTACCAGGGGGATGGCCACTCCACAATCCCTTCTCTCTCAGGATTTTCAGCAGGCATGCACATGGACTTGGCATGAATTTCAAGCCTCTGGGTCAAGAATTTGAACTGCAGGAGTCCAGTAACATAACCATTATGCTATTCACTGTTCCAAAAATTTTGCAGAACTTTTAAGGAAGTTTTAATCCCAATTCTCCTCAAATTATTTCTCAAGTTTTAAAAGGAAGGAATCCCCCCAAACTCATTCTATGAAACCTCCATCGCTTTGATACCAAAACCAGACAAAGACATAACGAAAAAATTAAACTAATGACCAATATCCCTAATGAATACCGATGCAAAAATTTTCAACAACATACAGCCTGTTGAATTTAGCAGTACATTAGGAAGATGATACACCAGGACCAGGCATGCTCTATCCCAGAGTTGCAAGGGTGATTCAATATATGTGAAATAATTAATGTTATACATTACGTTAACAGAAAGATAAAACCCACATGTTCATATCTGAGGTGCAGCAAAAACATTTTATGAAATACAACATCTCTTCATGATTAAGACTCTCAGCAAACTGGGTATAGTAGGGGCTCTTCTTGACACAATAAAAACCACGTATGACAGACCTACTGCTAGCATCACGCTGAGTGGGGACAAGCTGAATGCTTTGCCATATAAACTAGAAGACAAGGCTGCCCACTTTCTCCATTCTTTTTCAGCACAGTGCTGGAAGTCCGAGCCTATGCCATCGACAAGAGAGCAAAATAAAAGGCATTCAGGTAGGAAAAAAAACGGCTATCCCTATTCACAAATAATGTAGTTACATAAATAGAAAATCCAAAAGATAAATTTCTAGCCAAGACCATATATACATATATATATATACATATATA